ATCCTCGCTCCGCGGCCCGGGCCTCCGCTTCAAGGGTTTATTAGGTTTAGGGTTTAGCAGTTTCTTAGTTTAGACGACCGATTCAGGTCGAGACCGATTCAGGTCTTGTAGATTAGGCTAGGGGCGACCGATTCAGGTCGAGACCGATTCAGGTCTTCTTAGTCACGGGTCATTGGCATAGGGGGTTTTACTTGGTCTAGGACGACCGATTCAGGTCGAGGCGACCGATTCAGGTCGAGACGACCGATACAGGTCGAGGGGTCATTCAGGGGGCAATGTAGGCGCTTTGGGGCAATGTAGGGGCTTTGGGTTAAGGGCAGGGATCCGGACTTTAAGGGTTTCGCCTCAATGTATAGCCCCCCCACCCCAGCCCTAAATCCGCCCGGGGCTTGGGAAGGGTATCGCCTGAATGACAAGCGTAGCTTATCCCCCTTAACCCCGAAGCCCTATCTTGACTGAGGAATCGAGGGTTGTAAACTATTTATTTATTAATTATTGTTATTATTAGACCCCTAACCCCTGAAAGCTTAAACCCCTAAACCCTAAACTCCTTAATCATAGCCCCCTGCACCTGACAGTGTTGGGGCCTCAGCTCGCACTCGCCCTCGTGGGTTTCAGGCTGCATTTACTTTAGGTTTTTTTTGGGAGGTTGACCACTGTTCATCTGAAGGCTTAAACTTAGAGCCGAATCAAATCAGGGGGTTCTTCACCCAACTACCGTCCTCGCACCAACTGAGCAACTTCGCAAACTCATGAACGATGTCACCTCCACGACGCAGGCCCGTCACCAGAGGCATATCGCAGTAAGACCTTATGCCTGACCCAGCCTGAGCCCGGGCTCGCTCCAGGTCAACAGCTGCTGCTTGCTCTGGGTTTTTGGGCTTGGCGGTCAGCGCCTTTCGGATCTGTTGCGTCGCTTTCCTTCTCCAGCCAAGCCTGACTGCGACTGCCCAGGTCAAACTGCGCGCTGCTGGGCTTGGAGCCCAAGCCTCGCATATCGCACTGCAGCTGGAAGTGTTCAGACTTTGACATCAGGTCGTGGCCATTATCAAATTGCGACGCCGTCACCCGAAGGTGCCGCTGACACATTTGCTAAGTTGGTTTTTGCATGCCCAAGCACTGTGTCACTGTCGCTTGCAAGTCAGAAGTGCTTTGCATTGGAAGTTTGGCATGAGCTTGACGACCGTCACCGTCAGACTGGCAACTCAAGTGAGTGACACTGTCGCATGCCACGCATGATTGACCGACTTTCTAGGACTCTAGCTTCAGATTCAGGCTGCCAGGCGGTCAGTGTAGTTTAAACCGACATTTCTAGGACTCTAGCACCAAATTCAGGCTGCCAGGCGGTCAATTACGTACGACACACGAGTCACTGCAAATTCACATGGACTTAGCTTAGGCGTACAGTAAGTCTAACGCCTGCCGGCTCTCGTCTCATGGCGTCCTCATCATCGTCCTCGTCCTCGCCACTGCAGCAGGCGATGGAGCGCATCCGCGAGGTCGTGTCACAGATGGAGATCATTGTCATGGCCTGGGGAGCTGAGCAGTGGTACACCACTTACAATGGTCGCTCAGATGCATTATTAAATAGAGGATTCATCAGCGCACTTAGCACATGGCATGACAACGACAATCATCATGTCAGAGTCTTGAGTTCAGACTGAGCTGAGGCGGCTTTGTGGGGAGAGACGGAATGGCCGGGACATTGAAGGGGTGGTTCCCCCAACATTTGCACCTCACGTTCGATGTTAGAACTAAAGCTCTTTGGCCACGCGACGACGCGAGCGCCTGGGCTAACTGTAAACCCCATAAATCCCAAAACCCAAAACCCTATAAACCCTAGTCAGTCACGCGTGATTCTTGCAGCTGAGGAGATGGAGACTCCCCAGCTTCCATGCTGGCCACGGATGCGGGCCGGCGGTCGCTCAGGTTTCTCATGAGCCAGATGGTGGGCTTCGCCTTGTGCGAGTGGACTTCCGACGCTCGGATCCTTTTCCAGGTGATCTGCAGCTTGGCTTAAACGCAGGCATCCCTAAAATTCAATCCTAAACCATCATAAATCTTAAACCCTATCAGCCCTGAATCATGACGTGAGGCTCTGCCGGCAAGCACAGGAGTGCCAGTCTCGCCCTCGCCCTCGCCATTTTCTTTGGCCTTGAACTTTATTTACCAAGCCGACACGGCCTTGCATCTTTTCCAGAACGAGCAGAAGCGCCAAGTCCCACCGACCAGGTGTACTTGCTCGCAGAAAGTGCTTTCAAGGACTGCGTTCAGAAGATGCTTGGCTTCCTTCCGGCTCCTGATCCGGCGTCGGCTGCGTCCCCGTCCCCGCCTACGGCCCACGACCTCGCAACTCGTTTGCAACCAGGTCCGAGAGCCAGAGGCAACATAATTCAATAATTCAATCCACACGTCAGGTCTTCGAGAAAGTCATGAAGAAGGCTCCGTGGGTTGTGGAGACGTTGGGGGAGCTGAGAGTCGACGAGGGCTCCTGGCAGGTTACTTGGCTGGGAGATATGTAATCGTGAGAGCATGTCCTTTGCGTGGAATCGAACAACTTAGCACAGGCAGTTGGGTCGCTCATCGCCCACGGCGACGACGGCCTCGCCAAGTTGGCCGAGATCCACGGCATAGCCCTGGGCCCCCGGTCTCAACATTGCTTAACTAAGAGGTCAGGTCCGGCGTGCATTCTGTTTGATTGTAGATGAGCTGCTAAGGCCAAGTTCGCGCTTGGCGCGAGTGGCACTCGCTCTCGCAAGCTCAGCGAGATGCCTGGCAGCATATGATAATAGTTTTAGTCGTTCAAAGGATAAGCAGTAAGACTACTAAGTTAAACTTCTTTGCCCTCGACCTCGTCCTCGATTCGAACTCAACACTGCAAGGACTCCTGCTGGCGCAACGCCAGTGCGATGCTCACTTGGCATTGCCGCAAGGCCCTTGAAGCTCTCGCTCGCCGCTTGTTGGCAGATTAATGCTGCACGACAATGCGACGAGTGCTTCTGATATTTAGTTATTGCTGGGCTACCCCAGGAGAGAGCCAGACCGGACCCGCGCCACGTGCTCGCTCCTCGGCCCCGACACGGTCCTCGGTCCCGGCGCGCTGGTCATTGAACTGAGTCTTTTAGTTCAGGCTCTTCCGACTGCAGCCCTCGTCAGCTGAAGCAGCGAATTGCTGTACTTACTTAGTAGTCCTCGCCCTTGGCAATAATAAAATTAATACATCTCGGAAATCGGCGGAAGTCGGATGAGCCTGCACTTGGAATGGCGTCTGCTGTGATGGCAATAGCGGAATCAGACGCGTGACAAAAAGGCGCAACGTGCTCGGTGACTGCATGCCATGTACTACAAATGATCATGTCCTTGCCTTACGGCCCTGCCAGGCTTGGTTCTTCAATCACTTACGCCTGGGTGCATCCCTCAGGGGGTTTCCAACAGACGGTTTGAGTGCAGTGGCTTTCAATTTCCTTCACCAGTTCGACGATCCAGCATTATTATTCGCACCATTCCAAACCAGGTACTCAGCCACGTCCTCGTCAACGCCTTCGCTTCGCGGCTGCCCAGGACCACTTGGGTTGCACGTGCCACTGTCAGTCTTCATGTGCTTTGCTTTCATGAACGATGTTGGACTTCGTCTAACCTCACTTGTGCTCGAGACACTGCGACAGCGCAGCATGCCAAGCACATTGTCAAACACTACTCGGAACTACCAATCCTCAAAACATACATCTCATGTCAATTTATATCTTCGGCCCTGGAACCTAAGAGGGCTTAGCTCATTGAGGGCAATGCATTCAAGGAGCAGAGTAAAGGTGCACGGACGCCATGGGTGACGAGCCATGGAATTGGGACTGGCAGGGACAGCGCCGGAGGAAAGGCCAGGGCAGCTATGACAAGCGGAAGTTGAACATGAAGCCCAAGGACTTCTGCTTGGTTGAAGGTTAAAAGGGTTGTCTGGATCTAGTGAGTTCTTTAATTTTTCCCGATGCCATAAGGAGGAGAGGCAGAACTACAGGCCTCCGGCGCCCTCGTCCTCGATCGTGGGACCACGGCCAGGGCTTCCGTCTGCTGCCAAGGCGGCATCGCCCCCGCCCTCGGTGGCGAAAGCTGCAGCAGAAACAGCACCGCCAGCAGCACCAGCACCGGCAGCACCAGTAGCAAAAGCAGCATCAGCAGCACCTGCTGCAGCATTAGCACCAGCAGCACCTGCTGCAGCACGAGCACCAGCAGCACCTGCTGCACCAGCAGCACCAGCAGAACGTGCTGCACCACGAGCACCAGCGGCACCAAGAGCACTTGCAGCAACACGAGCACCAGCAGCACCGGCAGTACCACGAGCACCAGCAGCACCGGCAGTACCACGAGCACCAGCAGCACCACAACCTTTTGCACCAGCAGCACCACCGCCTTCTGTGATGCGTCCGCCCTCGGTGCCGTTCACTGTCCCGCCCTCGCTGGCCTCGGCCACGCAGTCCATGAAACATCAGAACTGGCTTTTGCTCAGCTTGGTTTTAAAGTCTGGTTGGAGCAACTGTTCCTTCAGTCCGTGGCCGGCCACAACCGAGGCTCCTGTGACGTCTGTTGCGGCTTCTGTGAACATGATGCAGCTGGGCTCCCAAAATCCGCTGCCGACTCGGCCGGTGCCCATCCGTCTTTTCCAAAACTCAGATGCAGCTGCAACTTGGCCAGCAACCCCAAGCCCTCGATTTTTTGTTCTCCCTAAAATCCGAAACTTTAGAACCTCAAGCCCACACCTAAATTAACCCGCGCCGCACTCTAACACTTTAAACACGCAGCCCTAAACCCTGAAGCTCCAAACCGTAAGCCCGACGACAACAGCAACAGGAACACAATAACAACAACAAGAACCAGAGCGGCAGCAGCAACAGCAGCAGTACAGCAACCTACTACAGCGACCTAGGGTTCATGGTGCTCCAGGTATCTCCGGTGCTCAGGGGGGATCAGCTGTACGTGGAGGCAAAATACACGGGCCAACCGACAAGGATCGAGGAAATCCTTCGGGACCTTTTGGACTCTGCGCCAATGACGTTGTCGCGCTTCATCCAGAGAGGCGGCGACAAGGAGTTCTTTGGCAGTCGGTATTACTCTTAAATTCAGCAATAATGCATGCCATGTATATAGCCTATCCAAGGTTCTATCGCTGGCTGAAAACTGCACCTGATCAGCGCGGCCTCATTCTTCAGTGCCTCCTGGGCGTGGACACCAGCGCCCTCGCCCTCGGTACTGCCTGGCCAAAGCTCCAGGAGGCTCTCTTCGCGAGCCTCGGCGTAAGATAATAATTAATTTGTGACTTAGTCTTCTACTTAACAACGATCTACGCTCATGCCAGCCTACTGTCAGGATTCGCTCGCAAGAGATCGTGGAGCCTCTGCGCATGCTAGCGCACAACGTCCTCGCCCGCTTCACGGTTGCAGGGCTCTGCCATCCGCGCGCGGATCAAGCGGATTTTCCTCCGCGTCCGATGCAGGCGGGGGCTGGTTGGTCTGCGAGGGTGGAGTGTATCCTGGCACGCATGATGCTAGAACTTCCCTGTCACAGGACCCGCCCAACGTGAGAGAGCCCTCGGCGTCCTCGACGCCCGCGCCCTCGGCGTCCTCGACGCCCGCGCCCTCGCCAAAGTCGCCCTCGCGGGCCCGGTCGCGCTCTGCCGCGCGGAAGAAGGCCGAAGGATACCTTACAGTACTAATTCAATCATATGTTTTCAGGCAATTGGGTTTAAGGTTTTGAAGGGGTTTTAAGCTAAAGTAAAGTGTAGGTTCAGGGTTCTGGGCTCTACAGATTATCCAAGGCTCAGGGTTGCGAGTTGTCGTTTTGCTCCCAATGCTAATCCCATCTTGGCCTTGTCAGGACCGGAAGAGCAAGCGCGAATGACGGTGCTGGCGGCTGATAAAAAAAAGCTGTCTTCTGATGCCTAGTTGGCGGCTTCTCATTCATTGCCTGCCTCGGTTGTGTCCAACTTGGCTGGCGTACAGGACCTATCGCCCTCTGTTGCTGCTGCTGGCAAGTACCTGAGTCTCAGTGTGCTATTACCTAGACTTTGCAATGCCTCAGTGGTCACGACATGTCATGTTGTTTCTTCAGGTGTCTTCAGACAAAGGACGACATGGATGTCAGGCTCTCGAGTTCGCCCATCACGTTCCTGATGATGTTAGCCCTTCTGTGCATGTTTGCATTCGTCCTCGTCCTTGTCAAGTCTAGTACTTGCGACACTGGCACGTGTTCGATAGGCGTTTCGTGCCCGTGCCCAGGGACGCTGCGCTGCTGCCGTGCACTGCTGCCTCCGCCCGGCCATGCCAGAAAAGGCTGGGGGCAAGAGTCGGTGTAGTCGTTACTGCTCATCGATGTTGCTTTCAGTTTCTCGCCCTCCGGACAGTGATGTACGCCTGGCGTCACAACATCTTGTCTAATGAGAATCATGCTGCTGGGCCTGCAGGCGTCACATGTATTCAAGGGTGTGCTCAGCTAGTTTTGACTCCGCCCTCCTCGCCATGGTCAAGAAGACGACAGAGATGAACAAGAGGCCCGGGGCAGCCACGATGTTGGAGTTCGTCAGCCTGCGATCCCTGCCAGGAAATGCAAGGACAACATCATTAAGAGGCTTCAAGACAAGGCCAAGTCCCCAGTTTAAATGTAGTTACTCATCGATGTTGTGTTGATTGTTGGCAGTCGCAGCTGTTCCTCTTAGACAGGCCCTGCACCACCGACTCCGCAGCAGGTGGGCAGCTTGTGACTGTGCATTCCCGCTAACTATAAGCCGAATCATTTCAATTTCCTTCACTCCGGCGAGGCCATTCCAGGTTCTTCACAAGATCCGCTTTGCGGCCGACTGTTGTGGCTACGACACAGCAGCCCGAAACTTGGAAGGAGGTCGGACATGACAGGCCACAGTCGCACAGACATCGCAGACCCCGAGGCCCTCGCCCTCGGGTTTCTGAAGGTGGACTTTGAAGTAGTCCGCACTACGGAGCTGGACCCGGCCGTCCAGGAACTCAGAAATATAGTGCACAGGCGAGTTTTGGCGTCGTCCTCGTTGCCCCCGTCCTCACCAGATATGGTTTCAAGACCAACTTTGGAGAATCTGGATTTATACGTGGGGACGAGTCCCTGTCAAGATTTTTCTGCTGCTGGCAAAGGCCGTGGTGTCCTGGCAATCTTCATTGATGGGATGTACCGGCTTTCATGTGTGTCGGTCTCTTTCATTGACTGTCTGTTTCTTGAGCAAGGTGGTTCTGGCAAGGAAGGCAGCCTATGGTGGCACCAGCTGGAGCACATTCTTTCCGATCGACCTCGCGCCACATGCCTTGCCTTACACACGTGTCATGCTGGCTCAGCCCGTCTCACCCAGCTATCGCGCCTGTTCTCAGGCTTTCGTCCTCGAGAATGTCCTCGGCTTGAAGGAACGGCACCCGAAGATCCTGGCGGAAACACATCGCTTGTTGAGAGAAGCCGACTATGTCAGGAGCCCGCAAGTCACAGTCTTCAAACTCTGTCAGTGCCAGTGCCTCGACTTAGTTTGATTGTACGGTTACCTCAGCCTAGGCTGTCCAGGAGGGTATCTTGAACACCGCTGACCACGGCGTCCCGCAGCGCCGCAAACGCATCTTCCTGCTGGGTGTTCGTCTGGATTCATTGAGCAGCAACATGAACACGCACCATTGGCTCCCCGAGCCACAGCTGCAGGCAGGAGCCTTGGCATGAACTGACTGCGGAGAAGGTTTGTTGTAACAATGTTGCATCTCAGTCGCCCTCGCTGCGGATCTTCTTGGACAAGGGCCGGAAGCCAGGCCAGAAAGCTGTGACGTCGGTGGAGAATGAAAATTCTACTTTCCGAGACAACATGGAAACCGTCTGGGCCTCAAGTTTCCTTGTGCGTCCGTGGTGTCGTCATGTTGTTTTCCTCAGGCCTGCAGGACTTACGGCAAGAAGATCATCTACTCTCCCGGAACCGTGGTGGACGTATGCGCAGGGCAGCACCGAAACGTCGGCCTCGGGTCCTCGGTCATGCCCACAATCACGGCTTCTCGAGGCTCCCATCCTGGGGCGTATTACGTACCTTCTCGCCGCACTTGCCTCTCGATCCACGAATTGGGCCGTCTCACAGGACACTTGGGGCCCGCCGTTTCTGAGTGAAGTATCTGTTGCTTGCCATGGCAGGAGTTCCGGATTCCTTGGTGACTTCATGGCTTTCGTCCTCGTCCTCGTCTGTGATCGGCCGTGCATTGGGCAACGCTGTCTCGCTCAACGTGATGGAACGTTGCATCAGGAACATTCTGTTGGCCTCAGGGCTGGTCGAGCAGCTGCCGGACTACTGGTGCTCAGCGACCAGGCCAGTGACTGGGTCGGCGTGTCTGGAAAGTGTTGATGCCCTCCTGAGAGGCATCTGGCCACCAGCAAGCGCCCAAGTGCTGAGGAGGCGGGTCTTCAGAAACAAGCAGTAATACTCAGATGCTGACTTGCCAAGCCGGGTCAAGCACCAGAGTTCAGTTACATTCACCAGGTGCAGAAGGTCTTGGAGCACACCGTCTAATTGCGGAACACGATGATCCGTGATCTTCGGCCTCGTCTGGCGGTTCGCCCTCGTCCTCAGACAGATGTGTGTGGCAACTGCAGTCACGGGAAATTTTGAAAAGGGGTTTGTGAGATGTGTCTGTCATGGAATTTGCATGGACCTGGAAATTCAATCATATTGAGCAAGGGCAGTTCACAACAACGCTCGCAAAACCGCCGCCACGTCGTGACAGTGGTCGCAAAGCTTCGGAGAAGGAACCTGAGAGTGGATCTAAACAGCTTGAACATGCAAGGCATGCTGACAGTATTAAACATCTGCAATGCAAAGCTCGTCCAAGCAGAAGCAAATGTGCAGTTACACCTTTCTCGATGGCCGTGCGCGCCCGGAGTCCTTATGGCGCTCATGCACTCCGGTGCATGACTCGGCACTGCCCTCGGTACCATGTCTGCAACGCATGTTTTTGCAAGTCAGGCAGTGCATGATTCTTTTCGAGTGTCTTTGTCAGTCATTTTGCATAGACTAGTCTGGCCTGTTGTCCCTGAATATCAGTTTTTCTTGGTCTTAACGTTGTAGTAGTACCTAATACTGCCACTAGTCCTACTCCTACTATTAGTACTACTAGCAGTACTACTAGCAGTGCTACTACTACTATTACTACTACTACTACTATTACTACTACTACTACTACTACTACTAACTACTACTGCTGCTACTGCTACTGCTACTGCTACTGCTACTGCTACTGCTACTGCTACTGCTACTGCTACTGCTACTACTACGACGACGACGACTACTACTACTACTACTACTACTAGCACGGCACAACGGTCGCACAAGACACCAGAGGACAAGACTGGACAGCACGAAAGTTGCACAATTTAGCCGCCCAGAAGCTTAAGTAGAAGTGAAAACGTGTTTCCCGCCAGCTCCGAAGCTTCACGGCACAGGCTTTGCACACGGCAGACAGGAACCAAAGCCTAACCGCACAAATCCTGCTCAAAGACACTTGCCGCACAAGATTCGCACAGCCAGTCGAAGGTACAAGAGAGGACACCACCGAGACCCGCAACAAACTTGCACAATTTAGCCGCCCAAAAGCTCAAGTAGAACTGAAAACGTGGTGTGTTCCTTAAGGGCAAGGTGGAACAGAAACCAAGAAGCACAAATCTTGCACAGGAACCCGTGCCGCACAAGATTCGCACAACCCATGGACCATTGAAGAAGCAGCAAAAGCACACACCGCACGAAATTTGCACAACAAGAGCTTGGCACCAAGGACTATACCGCACAAGATTCGCACAGCTTCACCAAAGGCTTTAAGGGCGGCCAAGCAGGACCCGCACCACAATTGCACAATTTAGCCGCCCAGAAGCTTAAGTAGAAGTGAAAACGTGTTTCCCGCCAGCTCCGAAGCTTGAAGGCACAGGCTTTGCACACGGCACAAAGGAACCAAAGCCCAACAGCACAAATCCTGCTCAAAGACACTTGCCGCACAAGATTCGCACAGCCAGTCGAAGGTACAAGAGAGGACACCACCGAGACCCGCACCAAACTTGCACAAGTGATCCGCCCAGAAGCGGAAGTAGAACTGTTAACGTGCTCTGTTCCGTGGAAACCAAGAAGCCGCACCAAGTTTGCACACGACAGACAAGGAACAGAAGCAGACAAGCACAAATCTTGCACAGGAACCCGTGCCGCACAAGATTCGCACAACCCATGGACCATTGAAGAAGCAGCAAAAGCACACA